CTTTTCTTCCTCTTCTGTCTTTGCAATGACCATTTGCACTCTTCCTGGATGATACCCTTGATATCCTCCCACAACTCATCTGGCCTTCGCTCATTAGTGTTCAAAGCCTCAAACCTGTTCCTGAGATGGTTCTGAAATTCAAGTGGGATAGACTCAAAGACATAATAGTTCTACTTAAATCCAAATAATCTTAAAAAGAAACTACGTTATAGTTTTTCCTCTATGCAAACTTAGAAGACTAATATTTTGTCTATATAGTTGGGGTTTTTTTTGTTAGGAGTCATTGAGTTTTTCCAACTGATAGTAAAACCAGAAGACAGAAGAGAATTAATCAATAGGATTTTCACTCCTTAGTAACAGGAGAACAGCTACCCTAGGATATTGGTGGTATGGGAACAGGTCTTCCTCTAGCACAGTCACTAGAAGATCTCAGCCAAACTTTTGGTAAGCAGGTGAATGCGTAACCATTGTGCCATTGGGATTTCCTAAAAGTTTGTTTAGATGCATCTTTTACCTCACAGCTGGTGAATGGTTCTAATGCAGATATACTAAGCTTGAATCTAAAAATGAACCACTTAGCTTTGCAATGCTTTAAAAAAAATTAAACTACAAACAAACCCACCAAAGTAAAACTCTCGTACAGTCTTCCTGCCTCTTGTACTCCCTTTCAGCCAAGATCCATCTAACATTAGCTACAATATCCCTAGTACTACAACCCCTTCTAAGCCCAGCCTGGACGTCTGGCAGTTCTCTGCTGATGTTCTGTTCTAGTCGTTTTTGGGTAATCTTCAGCAGAATCTTGCTTATATGTGATATTAATAATATTGTTCAATAATTTCCACACCCTGTGTTTCACTGATTATGCAAAGGTGTTTGTGTGGATCACAACAAACTATGGCTAACTCTGAGAAGAATGGGAATCCCAGAACACCTGATAATGAGAAACCTATACTTGGACCAGGAGACAGTCATGAGAACAGAGCAAGGAAACACTGCATAGTTCAAAATCGGGGAGGGTGTGTTAAAAAAATAAGGATGTGTCCTATCTCCATATCTTTTCAACCTACAGGCAGAACAGATTATCTGAGAAGCTGGGCTATATGAGGAGAAATGTGGCATCAGGATTGGAGGAAGACTCATCAACAGCCTGCCCTATGCCGATGACACAACCGAACTTGCTGAAACTGAGGAGGGCCTGTAGCGCTTGCTGCAGAAGGTCAAGGAATGTAGCCTTCAATATGGATTGAGGCTCAATATCAAGAAAACAAAGGTTACCACTACTAGGCCAATTGGCAGCAATCTTTAAGACTCTTTCACAGCATACGATACAGTTTTAAGTTTCAATGTATTTATAATCTTCTCCAATAACTGTAACCTCAAAAACGGTGGTACCTACTGTTCAACATTGTCTCCTCACTGTCTAATACAAAAAGGCTTATCACATCTTGTTTAAATGACCTAATGTTCTTAAACATTAATCTAAACTACACACCTGAAAAATTACAATCCATATACCATGACATTAATTTTCTATAAGATACTACTCCTCATCTCCATATAGGTAAAAATTAAAAAGCATGAATATTCATTTTTAGGGAAGCTCTGGCTGTCTAATGGTAAAGAGTTGAACTGCCATACCAAAGGCACCCACCGGCTGCTCCACTGGAGAAAGACAATCACCTCCTGTGAGATCTACTGCCTCTAAAAACTGCTGGAGGGTCAGCTACGAAGTCCATTCTGACTCATAAGTACTCAACAAGATGAACTCACTTTTGGCTTTAGGAAGACAGGCATTATTCCTTTTCATGTAAGAAAGTAAAATGCTGGAGAAGAATTTGGAGACACCTAAAAACCTACTTGGGTACCTGAATATTTAGGAAATCACCTAAACTCTGAGAAGTCTTAGTGGCAGAATAAATTGAATGTTTGTCTACTTACCAAAAGGCTAGACGTTTAAAACACCAGCTGTTCATGAGGACAAAGATAAGTCCTCCCATTAAAGATTTACAGCCGTGAAAAATCAATAGAAGGTAGGAAGTAGTAGGCAAGAAATGCACTAGAGGCATATTTAAAACCAAATAAAAAATATCATTACTGCTAAAAAAAAACCCCAATCCCATCATGAACTGTGACTCATGACAGCCCTAAGCAGAGGACAAGTGGCCCACTATAGAAGTGGGTCATCCTGCTTTCTTTAGTGGAGCAGTTAATGTGCTTGAACTGATTAGCAAGTTTAATGCTGTAACCACTGTGCAATCGAGATTCTTCCAGTGAAGTTCCAGGGTTGCAGAAATGGTATTAAGCAATTGGCTAGTAAGTACAAGGCTGGTGGATTAAATCTACTAGAGGGACCTTGGAAGAAAATCTTCTTGATCCACTTCCAAAAGATCACAGGCAATGACAACCCAACGGAGCACAGTTC